TATAATATGTTGAAATCTTCAAAATGTGGACCTCACGCCAGCAAAATGAAGTCCTGATTATTGTACAGGCTAAGAAGTACCCAGAAGTACCCACATTTTGAAGACTTTTTTATCGACCAAAGATGGCTGAAATTTTGAATCTTTTATCACATTTCAACGCCATGTGTGATATTATATGGGTAAAGTCTGCTGAAGGCTACAATCTGTTGGGCGCTTTCGAGAGCATGTTATGCCGAAGCAATCACTTTTATTTTCAAAGTGGTTATTTTTAAAAGGAATTTGACTATAACTATTTTAATTCGAAGAAGGAGCAGTGAATAATGGTGTGTTTCAGTGTGATAGGAACCCAAAGAAAGGTGCCACGCAGCATGCAAGCCCGCACAACGTAAACAAGCCTGCTCTGAATTTGAAAAAGGAGCATCAGAAACTTTATTTATCCAAAAGAACAGATCAGTATTCTGGCCGGGAAATTTCCTTGCAGATTGCTTGAGTCAGTACTGGTTTTGACCGGTATTGGTAGTATTGTGCTTCAGAGAATTGTTTGTCGCATCGATAGGTTAAATTTTTATTTGTAACTGCCATTGTAAACTGAGCTCCTGTGAGCGTGATGCTGTAATAAATCCTCCTTTGGTAATTAGCTTCACAGCTTAGTGGCTGTTTTGTTGGAACCACTTTTAAGATCAGTGATGGTTTTGGTTCTCCTCAGGCCTGGTTTTCCCTAGTGAACCTAGCGAAGCTTATCAGTTGCCGAGTCTTATACTTTGTGTGTACAGTGCAACCTAGCGCACAAGTAGTTCTCGACAGATCAGTGAAACACATGTAAAACCCTTCTTAGTCAAAATAACTCCTTTAAAGCATAGTGAATATAAGCCAACTCGACAATCTCAAAAGCAGAAGCTGCTGAACCAAAACATGTTTGGAAACAATCCACATCGAGCACTGCGATGTTCATCTCACGCGTGCTGAAGATTACTGATCATGATATGTCACGTACGCAGTGATAATACCAGTAATAGTTGTCACTACAGCTGCCCCCGTGATGCAAAGTGTGGCATCATTTTTGTTTGCAAAGTTTTATAGGCGATACTGTATGTGTTGACTGTTGTTATGTTGTAATAGTCTTTTAACTCAGATCAGAAAATGTGTAGCCTGAATTTGAGGCGATTACTTTGAGTTGTTTTTACTCTCTCAGGGGGGAAATGAGTCGAAGTAATCGTCTGAAATCCAAGCTAGAAAAGGCGGAAAAGGCAATAGGAGTTTGAAATGAACAGAGTATGGAAAATCGACGAAGTCGCAATTCATTTACAAATAAGTTTATTATGGGATATCGTTTACTGACAATATTACTATATCTAGTGTTATTTAATTGAAAAATTGGTAAAAATATTGTATAACTAACAAAACGGAGCTACTGCCTATGCAAAATATGGCTATTATATATAATTTTTGTTTGCATAGTGGCAAGAAAATTGTGTTAATGAGAACGATAATTGTTATTCGTTGTGTAACAATGATGTAGCAGGATATATGTAACCGAGAAACTAAGTGTCCCATTCAACTGTGTTTGCATGATAACAATAACTTTAAATACTCATTATATCTCTTTGTGCTATTGCTTTTACAATACATAGCTGTTATATATTTTTCTTTTTTGTTTGCATGTTCGCAGAAAACTAATTTAATTAGAAAGATAATTCATAGTTTTTTTCTTAAATGGCGTAATAGGCTATAACTAACTCAGTGTTCCACTCGATTGTCTTCACAAGAAGATAACAATAACTTTAAAAAACTAATTAATTGGCCCTGTGCTACAGGGCACATGTACTTGTAGCTAGAAACTGAGTGCTTCACTCATCTGCCTTTGCAAGAAGATAACATACAATAACTTTAAAAAATATTTCATTGAATGTCTTTGTGCTACTGCTCATGCAATATGTAGCTGTTATATTCATATAATTATATACTTTGATATGGCCTACAAAAAACCGTTTTAATCACAAAGGTCATTAATCATTGTCTGTTGAACAACAATGCCATGTTAATATGGTATATTCAACATAGAAACTGAGACTGAAATTAATCTGTTTATGTGGAAAAAGATAATAAGGGGCCAATTTCTGGTGACTGAATCCTATCAAAACTAATGAACAGCAACTGTCAGGTTCTAATTTAGAACTACACAGGGACTAAAAGATTGTCTATTTGTTGTCACTTGAGTCACTGCCCTGTTCATGGTCATGCATTTTTGCAACAAGTTTCCCATTCTGGGATAGCTGAAAATCTACACTGTCCAGAAGCAACAGCTTCTCAATGAGTGGTTCAGTGTCTTCTTTGTAGTTAAAAATGCCTTCTTGTAGGAATCCAGATACCACTTTTGGAAAGGCAGTAACTGAAATGACTTTACCGTCCTTCTCAAGGTTGAGGCTTACTGTCATGTCAACATAACAGTTTTTGATCAGCATGGAGCGGTTACAATTGAGGTACTTTGCAATTTTTGATCCTGGAGGCGAGGTTATTTTTTTCTTGCAGTCTTTGTTGTTACATGTCAATAATGGGCTTACTGCCACATTAAGAATTTCAGGGCAGCAAATCCAATTTTGTATTTCTTGCTGCTTAACTTTGGTCAAATCTTGTTTTTCGGCTGCAGACACTGTGGTTGATTTAGTAGTTGAGGCACTTCCCATAAAAGTGGCGCAGTTTACATTCTGTGAATGTGTAGAAGTTTCCTTCTTGGACAGCAGTAATGTGTTCACCCCATATAGACAGTGGGATAGACCCTCTGGTATCTGTGAGTGTGGCATCAAGGACGGATTGGGTGCTCTTTTCTGAGGGGATGTGCGCCTCTCCTTTCCACTTAATACTGCCAAGTACATTAAAGTTCCCTGTAGTGGACTTCATGAGAGATCTAACCATGGTCACTTCGAAAGGGTCTTGTACCTCATACTGAAAGGTGATAGTATGGCTGGGTAGATCTTGAATTCCTGCACCCTTATTAAAAAAAGATTGTTCCTGATGCAGTCGCAGATAGATTGGAATAACTGGCTGTTGGGCATTCACCTTGTCTACGAAGACCTGGCGTTTGGAGTCATCTCGTTTCTGGTGCATGACCTTGACAATTTTGCCTTCTTGTTTGGAGGCTTTGACTTTGACTTCAAAGTACAGATTTGAGCTTGATTGGCTTTGTTTCACTGGCATCACATGCTGGATGTACCCAATAACAACTGTGGATGAAGAAAGGGATGAATCAATTAAAAAAATAACAGACTAAACTGTTACTGTTCTATTATGAAAACAAATAGTGTCTTGTGCATTTTACAAGAAGTTCATTGAGTATTTGAGATAAATTATTATTAATTGTACTTGTTGGGTTTAAGTATAGTGTTAGGGTTTACTGTTTGTTGACTTGAGGTTGTGTGAATAGTATTCTTGGTCATTGTGTAGCTTTTTGAAAGTTACTGATTCATAATGAAGACTTTCACACATATTCCATAATGTTGGTAAGATACAAACAGGAAATGCAAGGTTCCATGTAGTGATTCAGTTCGCTTTACACAGCTTTGATCAAAACATTTTCAGTGTTGATAATATATTTTTTAAACCATAAGAAAAGATCTGTTTACAAGTTCGAATTTTTGGCTATATCTAACAAGATATTACAATTGATGGTACAAAATGATAATGTAAAGGGAGTAACTTACTTGCTGTTGAAGTTGAAGAGGGAGATGCTGGAGATGAGGGCATTCCATATTTGACCCTCTTTGATGGTGGTGGGGTGAAATTAGACATTATAATTATCTACAAGAACAAAGATATAATCCATTGTAATGATGGACTATGTCATTTTGAATCTTTGAAAGAGTAACTTCATTTAAATTGGTTAATCTTGCCTCTTCTAAGATTCTGTATTTGTAGTTGGAAGTTTTCTTAAGGGACCCCAATCTTTCATATGACATAGGTTCAATAACGAGATTGGAGATAGTACGTACTCTGGTTAAAGCCCTGGGCCTTGTGAATGGTAATTGACCAAGCAAGCTTGAGTGGAAATTACTGTCGTTCTAGTTTTTCTCCATAAATATCAGAGGAATTTGTAACTGGGTAGATAGGAACATAATTGGCAATGCTGTCACAAAAACTTGGCCTAGAATAGTCCTTTTTATCAAATTGAACCATTATTGCAATGGGTAACACAGGTGGGCAACGCCCTTCAGCATAAATAACATGACGGACTGTTCCCAATGCACCATTACGGAGACCCACTTCAGTCCAGAGGTTACGTGTCAGCATGACCCTTGAATTTTTTGCTAAATACAATACAGGTTCTAGTCCTCCCATATCTTCAGCACTCAAATTTTTGGCTTTGTTGCTGGTATACTGGGCAGTAATCTGTATAATTGGGTGACCTATGTCACACAATTTATTGTAGTTATCTTTAGCAACTTTTTCATTCCCAAAAGAACGTTTTATTGCACAATCCTCAAAATGTTGAAGGTTCTCAGTTTTATCGGGGTTTCTTGCCAAAAGAAGTTTCCAGTCTTCTAAAGATGAATCACCATTTCTGGCTCGCATTTGGAGTTGCCTAAAGTTTTCTTGTTCCCTATTGCTTCCTTTTGTCCTTTCATTTGTTTGTAATTTAACAACTGTTTGGAATTTCTGATACATGCAGTAATCTTCAACAGCTAAATCATTCTTTGGTTTATTGTGGTACAAAACTTGGTCAGAGATAGGAGGCGGTTGGGCAATATCACCACATAGTATTAGACCAGTTGCTTGCTTACATAGTCTATTTATCTAAGCGAACATTTTTTTGACCAATGACAGAGAACTCATCAATTATCAAATATTCCACAGAATTTAAATCCTTTTGTAATTTAGACAAAGCTGATGACTGTAAAGGGAAATTTCTTCTTCCTTTTATTGGCAACTGTAAGGGGGAATGTAAGGTTGTACCACCTTCATTAAAAGCCGCAACACCGAAAAAGCACACACTTTGCAAGTGTCTTTAAGAAGAAATCTTATAGCGTCTATGAGATAACTTTTACCTGACCCAGCTAAAGCTGTGATGATCATGAAAACGTGTTCTTTGCCTAACAAAACATGCTGTTCAACAATGTCATAAGCCATTTTTTGAGCTTGATTTAGGGAATTTAAATCAATCATGTTTGCATGGCTGTTAACCTTCTTTGAGAAAACATTTTTCTGTGTATTAATCCAATGAGGCATATCTCCGATTTCCTGTGGAGTGTAATTTGATCGGTCAATTTGCCGGTACTCTGTTGGTAAACCAGGGTGATTGTTATTTGAAGTAGTGTTCAAATTAAGTTCTGCAAAGTACACCCACTCATCCCTCTCACCAGTATCAACTTTGACAGATGTCAAGGCTATCAACGTCTTGTTGGACATATTGTGATATTGAATCAAGTTGCCAAGAGCAATTTGTTACCAACATCTTTGCTTCAGATGAAGCTAAAACTTCATGCCATTTTTCAATATAAACTACATCACTATTGTCTTGGTCATCCCGTACACTATCAAAAGAATGAAGCCAAGGTTTGTATTTTAGCAGCTGGTATTTGCAGAGTAAGCCATATGAAGGACCCTGTAGGTTTGATGAATAGTTAGGGTGAGTTTTACCACAACATCAGTTTTTCTTCTTGCTATTCCTAACTTTCCTTTGCAAAATGAAGACGACAATTGTATGAAGTTCAGATTGGATATGCCTGGAAAATCCCATTCATAAGTGTCTCGTTTAGCATATAAGTCAAGAAGAGACTTTTCAGTGTGAAGTAAATTGCTTTGAACTGTTATTCTTCGAGAACCATCTAAAGAAGTTGACATAACATGAAATGAAGAACTAACAAGTTTTATATAGAAAGCAGCTGGTCATTACTTCCTGAACACTCATGTCTCTTTGCCCAACTGCTCTCATCATTAGTTTCTTAATAATCTTGTGAGTTACAGTCATTGGGAGTGTCGTTCAGGACAGAGGTATAAACATCTTTTGCAACAGTTGACATCTTTTTACCCTTAGAAGCATATTTTGAAATATACTCCAAGCAAGAATAATAATCTATTATGACCTGGATGTCACCATTTGCTCTCCATCCTTGTAGTTGTAGACGTTGATGATTGTTTAGGCGTGTGTCATTTCGTTTTGTAACAACTTTAACCTTAAAGTGTAGTGAACCATCTTTGGAGCGTACTTCTTCATACTCTATGTGAGTATCATCGCAACATTGTTTTGGATAATCAGAACGACAAGAGTAATTATCAGTCTGGCCTTTCTTGTGAAGGCAGTAAGCAGTTGAACATTGTGTATGTCTTTGAACTGAATTTAAAAGGTCTTCATAATCTTCATCCAACTCTATTTGTTGGATATCATCAAAATTTTTCCTACGTGGGTGAATATCTGGTCTCGCCCAATTACCACTGTCTGGATTACAGGTGTCTTCTGTTGACATGAGAAAGTCTACGTATTTACATATAACACTCTCTGTTCTTGGCCTTCTCTCACAATTTGCTGTCTTTTGGTAACATCATTGTTTGTGAACTTCTTAGTCTTATCTTCTCTCGGTGATTTTGCTGCTAGGTGACCACTAAGGGCTTTTTGAGAAAGTTCACACAAATTTGGGTCACTTGAATAACCATTCAAGTGTGTGAAGGTTACTAATTACATTTTGTCTTCGTTGACAGTCAGTCAGTTGATTTGTGGCAAAGAGTTGATGAAACTCAGGCCAATGGAAATCAGCGCATGACAACGTCCAAAGTATTGTTGGTGCTTCCTTCTCCTGAATGATTGCTTTCAAGTTATCTCTTGCTTTGTTCCAATAGGCATTAATGCCAGTTACATTTTTAGCATAGTGCATTAATTTTGGACATGAACGAATCATATGAGTTTGATTACAAAAGTGTGTTGAAGAAGGGGTTTCAATTGGTTTTCCTCCTAAGTTCTTAATCACTGGCATTTCAATTCTATTAGTGCAACTACTGTGACTATTCAGTTCAAATAGTACAAAAAACCATCCACCTGGAATGTGTCTTTGCATGGCTTCCAAGCTAGGAAATTCTCGTAGAGTTTGAAGGAGAACATCAAAGTGTAACCATTTCTGGTCATTGACAATACCACATGTAAAATGGGATTGAAAACAACGAACTAAACTTTTCAAATTGTACCAACAATTACCAACTTCAATTTTGTCATACATTATTAGACCCGCCAATGCTTCAGGATCAAATTCAATGAAAAGGAACGTTGAATTAACTACAGGTGTTGCCAATGGTTTATCTGTCAAAGATCTACAATTACCACACCTTAATTTTCCAGGCTGAGTATGAATACTCAAGACATACAAAGGCCATGAAATTTTATCATACCTAAACTTTTCCAATCCAGACTGTGACACGTAAGTCAAAAATATGTTAAGGTTAACATTTTTGTTACAAGTTGTATAATAACTCTCAAACAATCTCGGTGTTGCAAAGAGACTGACTTCGTCAGGATTTAGTTTTCCAAAAGTTTTCTCCTCAAATATTTGACTGAAACTGGCATTAAAATCCCTAGCCTGAAACGAGCTACAACGCTCTCTTAGATAACACCACACAGGTTCTCGTATACCAGCCAAAAGGCTTGGATTTCCATCCTGATTTTGATAGTCTGACGCAGCAGCAAACAACAGCGTTGGAAATTGACTTCGAACTTAATTTCGATAAAACTGGCAGAAACAAATATGTAGACACTTCTAGAAAGCAGCTGGTTGAACAAACGTAAAATTCATAAAATGACTATTTTTCTGGATTATGTCGATTCATTACTGTAACATCTACTTGTCAAACAATCAAAGTGTGTGTAGAAGTTGCAGGATGCTGGATGATTTCTTTCCAGGCATTTTCGTTATCCAATTGGATATTGTCCTCCTGTGGCCATTCCCTTTCGTTCTTGAACAGAAATTCAGGGCCGTTCCACCACCTTCTCTCGGAGACTAATCCACTTGCTGACGTGACTCGTGACAGAATATCGGCTGGGTTCTGGTTGCCTGGACAGAACCTCCATGATTCAAGAGTTGTATGCGCTCGAATTTCTTGCACCCTGCTCATGACGTATTGTTTCCAAGGTTTGAAATACCTTATTCAACATAAAACAGTCATTGAGTGGACCAAGAACACTGTTTCCAATTTCTGAGGCAAGGCGTTCTGTACGGTTTTAGCCAAACGTACGAGAATCGTAGCGCCATATAGCTCAAGCCTAGGGATGCTTTGTTTCTTTAACGGTTCGACTTTTAGTCTTCAATTCAACCAATTTTACATCGTCCATCCTCATAAATGGAGCAAACATAAATGCTTGCAGCGTAAGCCTTTTCTGAAGCGTCACTGAAACAGTCAAGCTCAGCTGATTTCAAATTGCCAGACGGGTAGTCGAAGTAACATCTTGGTATACAAACACTGTTGTGTGTCTGAAGCTCAAGAATGAGTGATCTCGATTCCTTCAAGTTATCACCCTTAAACAGGTCGTCCCAATCGGTGCGCTCATTACAAAGTTCTTGAAATAAGACTTTCCACTCGATAGTAAGCGGGCTCAACTGTCCGACAGGATCAAATATCTTGGCTGAGATCTTTAATAACGATCGCTTCCTAGTCGGGAGTAAACTTGCCTGTTGCGAGAGATCTACCAAATCGAACGTAAACTGGTCGGTTTCAGTGTTCCAAATTGAGCCCAATACTTACACGATTGCGTTTTCGGAGGTGTTGGCGGCCGCAATAATTATTGGAGGTCCGTTCGTAGTCTTCGCGTACAATTCGTCTTTTCAGTAATGGTCTTCGTCCTTCCAGGTTCAGTTGTTGGATTCGCGCGGTCGTTCATTTCATTGATCGGCTCTTGCACTCTTTGAATTTGTTTTTCATTTTCTTAAATTGAATCCTCCCCGTTGCATAAGTGATTTGGACTTTCAACACAGCTCCAACACCCTCGCTTCACTTCCTTTGCCAGTAACAAGATAGTCTACGTAGAAGGATTTCTTCAAGAGCTCAGTGAAATGCGGCTTGAATTCTTCAGTCACTTGTGAGTCTAAATGGTGTTGAATCGTTGAAGCCGAAATACCTGGAGATGGTCTGAGTCCGAACACGAGACGGGTGAACTTCAAATGTACAATTTCAGTGTTCAGATCATCAGGATCCTTAAACCACAAGAATCTCAGGATTCTCAGGAGTGTGTCGAATAACGGGGGGGTATAATTTGGCCCAGTTTCGAGTCAATCGTTCAACGAGTGAGTACATTCAGCGTGCTTGGCTGAACCATCGTACACATTCCTCAGTTTGGTTGTTTCGCGGTCTCTTCATATCACGGCGTGGTGTGGAAGGTAGCGTACGTTTTCCTTCTCATTGTCCTTCTCTGCAGCAAATCTTTCCGAGATTCCATTGCTCAATTGCTCTTCAATAATTTGCTCTACAATACAGAGCATTGTATTCCATTCGCAGTTTATTTCTATAGCTTTCTTACATACGTCACATCTTTTACACATTTCACCCTTCACCTTCTTTGCATGCGGAATATTTTCTCATCCCCGATGATGCCGTTGATCGTCGAAAGCTTGGATTTCGGATTTTACCTTTTTTAAACAGCAGTTTAAGGCCTCATTAGAACAGTTTTATATTTTTAATTATGCTGCTGAGGGACAACATGAATCTATTCATCGACTCCACTGTCTTCACTGTCATCACTCTCCACGCTTTTAGCAAACGCTTCGAGAGAGTCTAGCTTTTCCTCAACCATGTCTCCGAGATTAAGAAGACTTATTGCCTCTTCATACTCCTCTTAGATGTTCTGCAGCTCATTGGTTGATGTTGCATCTGTCTGCGTCCCTATATCTTGTACGATCGTGGTGGGATTGACAGGCTAAATTTCACTGCTGGCTTCTGGCTGTGTGCTTGTTGTATGCAAGCTTTCTTCTCTTTTTTGCATCTTTCGACATGTCTACAGCTTTGCTGACCAAAGAATCACAGGCTTCTTTTTGTGGAACGGCCATTGATAGAGATATGAAGGAGAAAAGCAAGTAAGTCGTTCTTAATCTGACTTTTTATCCTATTCTTGATCAATTTCAACTGACTTGCCCCTCTCTCAGGCCAAGTATTAGACATTTGGATTGCCAGTGCTGCTTCTCCTTCCGGAGCAGATCTTGGAAAGAACTGTGTAAATGTTGCCCAATTCATGGCCGTGACTTTTTTAAGCGACCACTCAGTAGGTGTGTCTTTCTTGCCATCCACTATGTGTGTTCTTTCCATGACAGCAAATCATACTTTAGCTTCTTCCATTGCGTTTTAAATTCCTCTGCCTCGCTGTCATCAAAGAAATGGTCAGTGTAGAACCTGGTCGTCTTGAGACCCTAACCTGTGTGCTCTGAAGTAAAGCCAAAGATCAACAGGGACTTTCTCCAGAAATACCTCAAAGCCCTTGTCAAGAACATCGACACGAGGTTTAAGTCTCCACTGCCAGTGCTCAGTGCATTTTCAGTATTTGATCCCATGCTGATACCAAGCAGGCAAAGTCTTGCTTCTGTGATCTTGACGTCATTCAGCTTGCCTTTGCTGTAGTCGATTGAGGGCTTAATTGAGGCATGATTGAAAGTGCCTTTCTGGAAGGGTTTGCTAAGGTTCGCCAATACAGGAAGAATCCATTTCAAATGTTTACCGCACCAATGAGTTTCACTTTGTTAATCTTTTTCAATAAGCCATACGCTGCAGGTTGGTCTGAGTCCTGTTTCAACATCTTGAGGGTTTGAAGTACAGCAACAAGATCAGCATACAAGGATTGGATTGCACTATAGAATGACAGCCACCGAGTATCACAAGCCTATTTTAACATTTTTGCCTCCATCTTTCTTGACTTTTCAGTACTTAGCTGGAGATTTTTCAGTTGCTATTACTGACTGATTTTTCAGTTGCTGTTACTGAGTAACAAGTAAGTAGCTTTGGCGAGTGTTTAAAGGAGCTTCCACAGTTTTGTTTCCACTGTTTCAACCTCTTTGATGAACTTCAAATTTGCGTCATCTTTGGCATCAGTGCATGCCAAAGCTAAATTGTGGCATATACAGTGAACTGAAACCAAACGGGGATTTACATCTTTCAGTTTCGCGGCGAGGGCATTCTTTCTTTCAACCATGACTGAGGCTCCGTCTGTTGCCAATCCAATTAATTTGACAATAGAAAGACTACATGCCTGCAAATTACATTGAATTGTCTGAAACATAGCCATGGCATTTGCAGAGTCGTGCGTTTCTAACAGGTTGTCAACTGAGAGGACCTGTACAGTGATCTTACCGCTGTCCTCATTGTAAAACTGGATAAATGTAATCACCTGTTCCATGACTGCTATATCTGGCACGTCATCCACGAGGAGTCCATCCTGCTGTCTTTAGCCCAGGGTACTAAACATTTCTCGAACCGATGCTGGTGATCGATGACCAAAGTACTTCAGATGATTTATTCCTAGCTTCTCTAGAAGGATAAACAAACTCGTTGCTTTTTTGTTTGCGATTCCCTCTTTAGCTAGCCCGTAAATTGAATAAAACACTTTGTAGAGAACGGTGTCGTTCAGTTCCTGCTGCTCATCCGGTTCTCATTGGAAAACGGAAACTCGGTTCATCATTTCGCATGATATTGCCGCCGAATGTCTCTGCAACTGTACATGTTCATCGATTACTGTTGTTTTGTATCTTACGGAAGGCTTTTCATTGAAAATATCGGATTAGTTTTGTTGACTCGCACATTTGTTTTTCTTGCAAATCAAGCAATACATTCCCTCAGCTTCAACAAACACCAGCCATCTTAACCCTGTCTTTTCATAAAATACGTTTGCTTCAAAGAGCCACTCATGTTGGAACCTGTCCTTCTTGTTTGACAACCTTTGTTTCTCCTCTGCTCGAAGACTAGAACAATTTTTTTTCATGGCAGCAGTGGTAGTGGTGCAATACTTTCTTTTGGTCTTCTGTAAAAAGGTCGTTGATTATAACCTCGACATCCTCAGAACTGACGGAAGATTTTTTTGGAAGAAGCA